AATACTTGTTTGAAAAATGTTAAACACTTGGAACAAGAAGAGTGAAACATTTCAATAGGAAGACACTCTCCTATACAAACATCTTCTCTTGAATCAAAGAGAAGAGTATCCACATTTGGATTCCTACATAGTAATTTAAGCAAAACTTAACTTTTAGCATCCTTGAAAAGACAACAGTGAACATTTATCAGAAAATGACCCTGGCAGCAGTATTACACAGAGTAATTAGTCCCTAATGATACAGATCTGCTGTCAAATAAAGTTGCATAAAAAAAAAATCTCACTAACCTTTCTCCAACTGTTATTGGCATCTGAAACATGTTCAGAACAGAAGAGATTAACACTTACTAGTAAGGGAAGAGATTACTATGCACACAGTGTGAAAACTTTTCCCTAGGTTAATACTACCTACCGATTAAAGATGCTTATTTCTGCTTAAGGCACAAGTGTTTCAAACATCAAAGAATGTCACTTGCAACAATAGTTTCTAATTTGCTAATAAGCAATAAATGAAAACCAGTATGAGCTTAACTGAAAGAGCATGGAAAGAATGGCCCATGACGTGGAATGTATAGATATGAGAAAGATTGCTTTTGAACATTAATTTCCATCCTGAATTTTCTGTGCTTTCTTCTAAACGTGGGTTTCAACATTTTGTGTTTTATTCTAAATAATTGGATAACATTCAGTGTAATGTGAATGGGTATCTACTTGCCTCTCTTTATTCTCCTTTGTCCTTTTCTTACCAACCCTTTAACATATGCCTCGAGTTTGTTCCAGAGGCACCTATTTCTGCAGTGGGTTTAAGTGCTATATTATCATGGTAGAAGATGGTGAATCTATTCTACTATGTCCAGACTTTTTAAAAATTAAACTCAGCTTATTGGAAAACACTACTACAGGAGTTTACGAGAGTCTAAAGCATTTCTACAAGGGGAAAATGAATCAGTCATACCCTCATAGAAATCTGTATTTGAAGTAAAACACTGTTATATTGTGTAACAAAACGTCATTATTGTTTTTTAAAAAAATAGAATGCATATATCTACATAGAGTCTTAGGTCCTTCAGTAGCTTTTAAATTTAGTGGGTTTTAATTGTAGATAAATAAATGGACAGAATTTTTAAATTACATGGGGATTTCTCAAAATATGATCTACTGTTTTTCAGTATATTTCATAACACAGTTCTAAAGGAGAACTACTAGTATGCAGTATAAATTGTAAAAATAAATGTGAACTTCTTTCAGTTACCAACAGCAGAGAAGATTGTAATTTTCCACATATACAGAATCAGATAAATGGTTCATTAAGAGGACTCATCAACTTAGAGAACAGACGAATCAAGTTGCAATGAACAATTTGGAACTTCACCAGAACCAAGATTCTTAGAAAATATATTTGTTATGCAACATGATCTCTGTGGAGAATCTGTCATGTACAGAGATTATTCCCTCTCTTGAGTACATTTTTTCTCTATAGAATAAGTAACAAAGAAATCTAAGTGGTAAATTTCTTAGACATCCTTCTCAAAATAATCTAGATGTAAAAATTATACTCACTCATGTAAAATCAGATTTGTATAAACTCACACTATTGCCAGCCATCTTTTCAGATTTACAAAATCCAAAATGCTTAACTAAAACTGAAGATCATCAATTTACATTATCTTCAATAAGAGCTAGTTTAATATCACAAGTAAAACATGTAAAATAATGTATTAATGTATAATAATCAGGCAGAAATACTCATTATATTAAGCAGTGATAAATTAAAACTAATGCAGTAAGTTGAGCATTGATTAGTCCACTCTGGTATTTTGCAACACTGATTTTTCCATTTGAGTTTGTTGGAGAAGCATCTCTTGTTTTCATTAAAAAAATTATACCCCATGCACATTTTATAAATTGCATTTATATGCATCTCCTTCAAGAAAACCCAAGAGGCCGCCTAGATCAGTGATTCTTAAAAACATAATTTAACACCCCCTCCCCCCATTGTGACACTCTCAAAATGTTTCTATAACCTACTATTTTTTTTAGTTCATCTGGAATTAATCATTCTGTCATTACTCTTAGTTTGCTATTTTTGAAGCATAACCTGAGCTGCTATATTTTTTAAAAAATTGAAAATATTACCCCAAAACAAAACATAGATCAATTCACAATGAAGGCCAAGTACAGTTGTTGCAATGCTTTGGATTCAGTTCCATACAATTGTTTTGGAGTGCATGGGGATCCAAATGTAGCAGCTGTTTGCAATTCTTTAAACCAGCTGCATGGTGCCCCAAAAAGATGTGGTGTTTTAAAGAGTTGCAAATAGATGTTACAATCATATCCCTCTGTGCTCCAAAGCACCTTTTTTGGAATTAAATCTGATGCACTAACAAGCAGTGCTGACATTTTAATCCAAATTATTGCAATTTGAGAATCAGGTGGCAAGCAAGTCAGCAATCAGTAATAGAAAAAATAGGAAATGACCATCTTCATTCTAAATATTCAGAAGCATATAACCACGGCAAACCTTTGGCTTTATACAGAAATATAATTCTTTCTAAAGAAACCTGTTATATTCAAAGTATTTTGATTTATTTGGTAGCTGAGATTAAATTGTAACCCTTTGCTTAAAGAATTCTCCCATGGATGGGGATGGCTGGGATGGGGAGGAACAGAGAAAAGATGGTGATGTTTACAGGTAGTTCTTTAGGTTATGACCATTTGCTCAGTGACCCTTCAAAGTTATGACAGTGAATGAATGGTACTTACAATTAGTCCTCAGAGTTCTGGCTGTCTCAGCATCCCCATGGTCACATGATTGCAATCTGGGTGCTTGATGCCCAGCTTGTGATTACATCACACTCGGTTTTGGTCACATGATCGTGATTTCCGATGTTCTCTGCTGGCTTCCCACAAGCAGTCAATGGGGAAGCCAGCAGGAAGTCAGAAGTCGTGATCGTGTGAGGTCCTCACTTAACAACCTGCACAGTCCTGGGGTTATGATGGCAACTGGGTCTGCCAGAATTGCCATTGCTAAGCAATGCAGTCACATGATGTGACACGTTACGACTGCATAGCTTAGTGATGGAAATTCCAGTCTCAATTGCCGCTGTATTGTGAGGACTACCTGTATTTCTTCTCCCTGCCATTCTTAAAAAAAGCTCTTTCAGAAGGTTGGGTGTACTCCAAATCAGTACAGGCCTTGACATGCTTTACTGCAGGTGAGTGAATGTCATCTTCACTCTTCTGCAATAAGAACTTGGATTCTGGACCTTTTTGTAAAGGGAAAGATCCCTTCTATTTGCAGAATGGCAAGTCTGGATACAATCCAGTTTGTTTTAGAGCTGGGTGAACTAAAGACAGACACTATGTGAGAATAAACCTTGGTAAGAATCCTGCAGTATAATTAATTGCTTGAACCACTTGAACATTGCATCGCAGTATCGTGGAACACTCGTCAAAGGTGAAGATTAAGATAAAGGCTAATAATGCCTTTTTGATATGTTCATCATCCTTATTACATTGCATCATACCTTTATTGCAGTGTGGCTGTGAACAAAATACTGCAATCCTATTAGTGCTCTAATATCTACAACTACACAGTTAAACTAGTATACTCAAAAATGTGATTTAGGTGCAAGTTGAATACAAGAAAAGTTGTTGGGAGTTGGGCAGCACACAAGTTTAAATGATGATGATGATGATGATGATGATGGACATTGCAGTACCTGGA